CCCCAAAACCCCAAAACCCCAAAACCCCTTTAAGGCAGGCGAAGGTGGAATATTGGGGGAAAATGTTTAAGAGGGTTTAGAAGAGGGATTTATGCGGTATCTAGCAACCTTTGTGACAGGCTTCCCTGAGACTTCTATAGAGGTTCTAAGGCGGCTTACTGATGTAGTTATTTACAGGGTTTGAAAAGAAGGATGGGTTAAATTTTCATTTTTGGGAATCTTTTGGACTCAGAAAATTTGGTTGGTCCTTGCTAGAATTTTTAAAAATCAATCGAAACCTTTGATGCTTGCGGTCGCAAGGTGTCTCTTGCAGTAATGAGAAGCTCTTATGTGGCTTTTTGTTCATTCCAGCCTTGAACCTTCTCTCTTCTTTCTCAAGGTACTCCTTACATTTCTTAAACAAGTTAGTGTCCTTTTCTTCTCAACAACTAGATCGTCGGTTAAGATTATTGGTCTTCGGCTTATTTCCTTTCCTTGAGAGTCTACTGAAACTCTTCTGAGCCTAAATAGATTAAACCATGAGCTTTACTGATATGAACTCATCAGTCAAGCGCTCATTCTTTAAGGCAACATAGCTGTTGAAGCTCCGCTGATTTTTAGGACTACTTCTGGGTGACAGCTTCAAACTTTTGATATACATGTTTGTTTTGGGATAAAAATTTGAAAGCTGCTCTATTTCTTTGCTAGACAAATGACTATGCAGGCTATGCTCATACTTTTCACTCCCCTGTAACCCACTTGGGTTCTGAAATCTATATCTTAGAGTGACTCAGAAGATGGCTGTGGAGTTAAATCTCAACTACGAAATCTTAAAAATTGATTTGAATAGCATTTTAGATTGAGAATTTTATTTTCAGAATAGTTCTGACTTTCCTGCATTTGACGAAGGAATTAATGTCTTCTTAAAGAATCTAGAAACTGAACGCAAGCTTAGTTGCTTCATCCTTGGGACAAATTGATATGTTTGCGGTAAAGTTTTAGGTTAATTTAAATAGAGAAAGAGCTAAATATTAGCTACAGAGTGCCTAAAGACTTCCAATTTCCTCATTAGAGGCTTTATAGATCCTGAAGGCGATCTAAAAGAATGGACATTATGAGAACTTTTACTCCTTATGAGATGCGCTCAAGATTCTCATTGCGGCTGATTTTAGATTTCATAAATCTTGCCTGATAAAAGCTGTAAAAATATTGATTATTTGACTGAATTATCTTACATGTTGTTAATTTCCTCAGAATTTCTGAATTTTCCAGTAGATATCTTCTGTTTCAGATTTTTCAGAAATCTTTGGCTTGTTGAATACTTCTTGGAACCTAATCTGATGTTATTAATAGCATTCAGGGTGCTACCAGGAGTCTCCTTAGTATTTTTTAGTATCTTGTTCCTATTGTTATGAGGGTTAGAAGGAACTTACAGCGCAGAGGAAGGAATAGAAGGTCTAAGCACATTGTTTGGTGTGAATTTTATTGTAGAGTTCATCTTTTTTGTGATAAATGAAGAGTTGGTTTTAGGAAGTGGTATGATTTCACCAAATTTCGATTTTGGAATTTGAGGGATTGGGGATGGTGATTTGAGGGTTGTATGAGGTGATGGATTTGAATTTTGAGTATATTGGGTTTTTGAAAATTGAGTTTCTGTGAAGTTTGGATTATATTGAGAACATTATTTTATCAAATTGATACAAAAAACGAAGATTACCATCTTCCACATGAGGCTGGAGATCAATCTGTATTTGAATTTTTCTAGTATTGCTCTTTTTATTTTTGATCTTATTAGATCTTAGCTCTTTCATAACAAATCTTGAAGCTTTCATCTTTTCACCCAGAATAATGGATGCTTTCCTTTTATTAAACCCAATAAAATTCGACCTTGATTTACAGCGAGACTCTGATTTATTATTTTCCCTATCAAATTTGACCTGAAAATTCTGTTTAGGCGGGTTCTAAAGGGTATTAAGATTTGCAATTACTTCCCAAGCATGAACTTTGTCTTTACTCCAGTCAAAGTTCCATTTAATCTCTTTTACATTAATCTGGTCTCTCTTTGAGCTTTTGCGCTGGCAAAACGTCTGACCCATGATGGGACTTTGAGACTGCACTTTAGTCTCTTGACCATGCCTAAAACTGTTGAATGCCAGCTTACTTAAAGAAGGTGTTACTCAACTGTTTATAGTTCATCATTAAATGACCACGATTCTGAATAATTTATATTATTGCTCAATTTTCTTAATAAAACTTGGGGTTTTGGGGTTTTGGGGTTTTGGGGTTTTGGGGTTTTGGGGTTTTGGGG